TAATAATTATTTAAATATTATATAAGATAATAATCAGAATCTAATGATCTTAATATCATTAAATTCTCTAAATTTTTGTGAGTTTAATGATATTAAATTTATTAAAATTGGATATAAATTGACTGAGATATTTAAAATTATATAATAATATAATATCTAAAATTTGATTGACTAAAACTAATGATGTAATTGTGACTAATTATGGCACATATGTTGCAACTACCAACAAAAACTGCAATTATTAAAATTTAAATAAATATTTGAGAAGCCATCTTTATATACAATTATATCTTTTTAAGTGCATCTCTCTTGGAATCATAATAAAAAAAATAAAATATATATATTTAAAAAGTGTATGCATTTATAAAGATCAAAATATATAAATCTCTTATAAACTAGAATCAGAATATACTATATATTTAGAAAAGAGTTATATAATACATATATTTAGAAAGAATATACTTAGCAAGATATAACTATATTTTAAAAATATAATAAATAATTATTAAATTTTATTATTATTATTATTAAAAATTATAAAGATTATTTTTATTATATATATACTTGATTTTTTAAATAATAATTAATAATTATTTAATAATATTCTTGAACTTTTTTAATTAAAAATAATAATTCTGATTTGTATAAATCATTTACTTTTAATTTAATAATATATTCTCTATTATTTTATGTTTTTTAAATTCAATTTTTTTAATATTTTAATATTTTCAAATTTCTTAAGAAATAAGTTGATTTTCTTTAATAATCTAAAGTTTATTAATAGAAATTTTTGACAAGCTAAAAATAATATTCAAGTATTAATAAAAGATAAACCAGTTAATATGCTTAATAATGAATGATATTTTCTTGAAGATAATTATGAAATATATTTGCAAAGAATCAAATTAGAATTATATAAATAACAAATAATATATATATTAAATTTTACAAGTAAAATAAATAAAGAAAATTTCAGACAAAGCTAATTTTTTTGAATTTTTGCATTATACATTGATAGAAAAATACATTATAGAAAAGTTCTTAAAAATAGATTTTTATTATTTAAAGGCAAGTAATAAGAGATGTAAATATGCTTTTTATAGATCTTTTCTAAATTCATATCAGTATTGATCTTCAGCTGATAAAAAAGTTCATGGATGATGAACAACTAATATCCATTAATTTACGTATTTTTTATTTGTTTTTAATTACTCAAAAAAGTCGCTGATAGATTTTAAAACTAGGCTTTTTTGTGTAGACTATGTGAACTGCACTGTACAATCAATTATTTAGTTTTTTTTCCCAAATCTAAAATAAATTTTTCGACAATAAATGAAATTAGTTACAAAATAGAGAACATAGTCTCTAGTCTAATGGAATAAATGAATGATACCTGAATATAGCTTTCCGACAAGAAAATCATCTGTGCGTTGATTTCTTCAACTATCAAGTCTTGTATTTGATACCACTGGTCTTTACCACGATGCTGAACATGAACCTTGTAGATCCCGTTTCCTTTTCCGGGTTTGCCTTCATGACAGATATTAGCTATTAGATCATAGTGAGTACTGACATTTTCTGCGTCGGGGTCTTCTAGATCTAATGTACATGTCAAAATGATTTAGTGAACTTGCACACCTGAACATGGAAAAATAGTTAAATTCATACAAGATAATGTAAAAATCTCGTACAATCACGCATATCGATATTTTTTATAGGAAAATTCACGATCGTAGGGTTTTTCTCCGCAGCCCAATTATTTTTCGTGAATCGCTTTATGTGGAAAATAAGATACTGGGGTAACTTTAAAAGATGATATCTCCTTAACACACCGCCGGATTCCTGCATAAAGAGAGCCCAGCAGAGCGCACATTAGCAATTGACAAACTCAAATTTGTGATGATGAAATTAAAAAAACTAACCTGAGACGTGCGTCCATCATATTTTGTCAAAATAGTAGTTAATGAAACCTAAGATCAAAAAGATTAGAAATCTAATTCGAAAATATTAATTGAGGCACAGCAGTTTTTTGATTTACCTGTGGAATAATATTCTTTTCTATTTCATCTTGAAATAGCGGAGGTGGTGGCAAATCCAATGTCAAATAAAGGAATGGCGAAGTCTTTGTAGTAATTTCTATTAAGAAATTATTAGTTAATTATCATTAAAAAATATTATATCTAATAACATACCTCTATCAACATCAAATAATAATCTATCCTGCTCATCAGTGTTATCTTTGACAATAACAGATTGCTGTTCCAATTTGAGCTCTCCTTGGAATATTTGATAAATGATACCTTTAAATAAAAACAGATTAAAAATACGATCTTGTGTTTTAATAAGAGTCAAAAGTAATAAGAGCGTTTTGGTACGTACTGCTACCAGGTTTACGCGTCCCGCCCAAATCTTTATGAAGAGCATTCAGAAACCACGACAGAAACTCCAGTGGATCACTTTGTTCCGATAGTTTGAATCGTTTATTACTTGCGTTCGAAATCTCTTGTAAGAGCTCGTGAGGACTTACTTGGCCTTTGAAGGCTCGTGGGTTCCATATTTTTCGAACTAATGTGCTAAATCGTTGCACTAATCAATTATAATTATAAAATCAAAGAGTCGAGAGGTCAAGAACATCACCAGTCATGAAATAAGACAAGAAATAGAGAAATACCTAGTTCTGAATGCTCTTCAAAATTTTGCAAAATAAAGTAATCTCGCAATGGTGGAATGTGAGCCAATGATTGAATGATAATATTAACGTAATCATTGGCCTTAACATTATTTAGACCGACGAATCCTACTCATAATTGAATTAATTTAATTACAGCAAAATATTCTGAAACATAGATGGTCAATATAAAAAGAAATGTTTACCAAGTTGTTACCTGGTAAGTATTTTTTATTGTTCAAATCATATGAATGCTTGACGTTCTGATCCAGTTGGGCTACTTGTTCTTTCGTGAAGGTTGGATGCAGTACATACTAATGAATTCCCGAATTCCCATAAATAATAAGTATCCAGTACTTAAAAAGAAATTTACATATTATACCTATATATCATTGATTAATCAATCACCTTAATATCATCCAACGAAGAGTCAATAACTTCGTACCCATCTGGCAAAACGTAAACCTAGATCAAGCAGGTGCATACCAAAAAGGTCCCAATAACAATTGGTGAAAATCATTCAACCAAAATTTAAAGATAGATACCTTCTTAGACAAACATTTCATTGATCAGATAAATTTAGCCTACTTTAAGAGTGTGCAAGTTTATAAACACGTGATGGTCTTCGTGTAAACTGTGGAAATAAGCGTGTGATTGGCGTCCGCGCCCTACCAATATTTTGCAAAATTAGTGACTTGAGAAGGTATGTTTGATACTTTATTTATTACAAAACCTTGGAAATATTTGCCGCACACTAAACACGCATATACATTCAAATTTGACAAAGACACCGAACAGACTTTCTCAAAATCAAAGTCAAGCATGTGTCGATTTATCTGTAACAATTCATAATCTTCTGAGAAATTTCGATAAAGTAGGAAAAGTCAAGTGAACCCACTTACTGTGTCAAGATAAAGATCACTGGAGGTAGCAGGAGTCGTAGACATTTTATTTAACGAAGAAAGTGTGGTCTTACGACTCAAAAAGTTCAGTTCACGTGACATCAGTCATATTATTTTTTTTTGTTTTCGTTACACATTTGATTGTTCCCTTAAGGAATTTTTTGAGCTTTACTAAAATACTAAAAAGGAAAGGGTTCCCAAATATAGAAAATCCCATAATAATCTAATCATTACAAATTACCCATAAATTCTTGTCCGTACTCCAGTTCAATAAATAAAAAATGTTATCTTTTAAACTTATGGACAATTTAATCAAAAGTGCCTGAATTATAATGATAATGAATGCACTGATAAAATTGTCTTCGAGTATAATGCAAGGGTTGCTTAGACTTTATTTTTTACGTTTATGGTAATGATAAGGTCACCTGCCCTTGCGACATTTCTTTTAGCAATGGCAAGCTATAATCTTCGGATAAAATAAACTTACAATTCAAATATTAACGACATGCACTTAACGTTACAGGACTTTATCTAGATATCTTTACGTGATATTTTATGAAAATGAATCAAGCTAGCTTCTAAAAATCTGTTGAAAAAAAGAGTAAAAATCACGCAACAATATAAAGTTTACACAAGAAAAATTTATCATCATACTCATTCAGATGCCCCTGTTCCAAAACAGATTCAGTCTGCGAAGTTTCGTGTCCAGTTCTTAGATCCTTAATTAGCTGCATAGCAGTAATATAAATTCATTTCATCCTTTAATAAATGACACATTCTTTTGTGTGAAAAAGTAATTAAACATGAATAAGGAAAAAGGATTAATACCTGGTATGGATGCAATACATATGATCGAATCTGCGACCCCCACGCGTTCTCAGGAAGAGAAGAATAGAGCTCTTCTTTTATCTCATTCCTAGGAAAAATCAATAAAATTTTAATTATAAATTGAAAGTATGAATAACAAACATCGCAAAATAATTACTTTTCTCTTAATGCTCGTTCGAATAACCTCGCGCGGAGCATCAGCATAGCTGAGGCCTTGTTGGAATGCTGCGATCTTTCGTTTTGACACTGAACGTAAACAAATGTTTTCAATGCCAAGTTTTTCTGCGCACTGTATTTACAATAAATGTCTTTGTAATCAATTATTACCTGCACGACTATTCCTGTTGGTATATGCGTTATTCGTACCGCACTTTCGGTTACATTCACCTTTCGAGCAATAATTTATTTATTAAAAACTATAACCTATAAAAAAGATCATTGCTGATTGAAAAGCTATAAAATTATTTATCAACATGTTGTCCTCCAGCCCCGCTAGCACGATACACATCAATCTTCAGATCACCAGAAGGAATATTGACTGAACTTGAGTCCGGATCGTTCTCATCAACAACAGGGAACACCTTGACAGAGGCAAAAGAGGTGTGTCTTCGACGCTGTATTTGTTACAACATAGATATAAAATTTGAATAATGAATTAAGAGAAAATAATATTTGATCTAGACAAACCTGTGCATCAAAAGGAGAGATTCTAACTAGACGATGAATTCCTGATTCCTTTTTACACCATCCGTACGCGTATTCACCGTCAATTTGGATTGAAACAGACTTACATCCGGTCACTTCTCCTCTGACATAATCAATTATCTTAACTGGGTAAAGAAAAAACTTGTTAAACCAATGACGAACAAAAAAACTATGAAATAAATAAATAAATAAATAAATAAATATATATACCTTGAAACCCATTCTTTACTCCCCAACGTTCATACATTCTAGAGAGCATACCAGCCCAATCACAGCTTTCATCGCCACCAGCTCCAGGATTTATCTGAATAATACATCCATTTTCATCGGCATCTTCGGACCTATACATTATTCCATTATTAATAAAGACTAACACTCATGAAAATAAAAAATTACTCCTCTTACATAAAAGATCTCAAGGTGAATCTGTTCAATTCCGTATTTAATCTTTGTCCATCCTCCTGCACAACACACATCAATTCTTCATCATTTTCTTGGTGAGCTAATTCTAATTAAATGTAGTTAGTAAATTCTTTCGATAGACATTAAATTTATGCGTGAACTTTTGATGGTCACCTGCTAATTCCTTGATTTCAACTATTTTCTTCTGGAATTTGTCATATCTTTCAAGATCCTGATCAAGAAGTGCTACGCGTTTCTGTAGAACAGAAGCTCGAGCGTTCCAAGCTATTTCTGCCTACTATGAAGAGAAAAACCGAAGTAAAAAAAAAAGATTCACTTTCACAAGAGAAACTTTCGCAAGTAATCTTGTAAAATTCATAAATTCGAACCTGCAACTCTTTTTCCAGGTTTGTTTTTTCTTGTTTGGTCTTTTCCCAGTTTCGTGCATTCGTCAACAAGTCAAAGTTCTTGGTAACTTGTATCAATAGGTCAGACCAGCTGTCACCACTACGAGAGGTAACGAAAGAACGCAACACTAGATTTTGAATTTTTGGGAGTCGTGGTAAAAGTTTTACGGTGCTAGAATATTTAGTAGTAAGGCGAACTGAAAGAATACATGACTGTAGAATATATTTTTGGCTCATAATTTGTGGTAAAGTCTAGCTTATATGACTCATGATATCGATCATCTGGGATAAAAATTGAAAACTAATCCCAATAATAGATTATACAACCATTTGCTTTTTTTTTGAAAGATTAGAATAGAATGATTCCATGTAATATACAAACGGACTGAAGAAAGATTCTAGAATAGTCATAAATCTGTAAAATCTATTGTAATTATTTTCTATACATTAAAAAAGATATTTTTTACGCGTGTTGCCTTATTATCCCAATACTAACGACCCCTGCCACGACCGCGTACACCACGCCCACGTCCACGTCCTCTTCCACGACCGACGCCAACAGCTTTCATAATGAAAAAATTATATGTTAAGATTAAAGCTAACTAAAAAAAAAATACACACACAAAAAAAATTCAAAAACCTTCTTTCTTCTTCGCTTTTGCCTTTGGGGTATCATCGATCAACAGTGTATCAAGCGGTAGTGAATCAGGCAGAATATAATATCTAATATTATTTCCACGGATACTCAATGATTCCAAATTTACAGGGTCCTTGTTTCGTACCGTCATTTTCACGAGTTTGAGATGCGTGTTCATACTCATATCTACTCCTGTTCAAGACAAGTTGAAGTTTCTTTAAAAACGTGAATCATTAAACTTAGATCAAAAGTTAAACTTCATGAAAAATGAAAATCGAACCTGTGACTGTTCCATGTACTATGGTCCCGTTTTTAAGTTCTATCGTGACTGTTTCATTGTTCAGTTTCATCAAAAATCTATAAAAAATTTTTGTTCAAGGGATTTGTTTAAATTGCAAAGAAAATTATGAAAGTTTTCTCCAAGACCAAATATCGTTAAAGTTCCTTTTTCATTATAATATACATGATCAAAGTTATCAACAAGAGTAAAATGAGCGTGCGCAACCCTCCTAATAACTAGTGAATATTTATCCGATACCAACCTGACTAACTTCATTGTTAGTGTTGCTTTTCAATTTAGAAATTTTGAGGATAAAAGGTAAGGGTAAAATTTATGCAAACGGCCGATCATCAAATCTTTGTGGTGCAGGAAATCATATGAGTCATTTTATAATAATAATTATGGAATCAGATGATCAATTTTATTACTTTTCAAAACATTGACACGAACACTTTGAAACTATGGAACGTTACTTTGACGGGTACCAGTTTTTTCAATTTGCTGAGGTCCCACCCGTCTTAAATACCAATACTTGTCCTGAATATTTTCAAGTGAGTGGTTAACGTGTCGGATTTTTAAAATTACATTCTTGTCGTCATTATTAAACTATTACTGCTATTACCAGCGTGTTCGAGATGCAGCAACAGGAGAAACAGGGTAGGCAATGAAGCTCTGGAATTCATGCACTCTTCCGTCCTTACAGTTTTTGAAGAAAGAAATAAAGTGAAGAGGGGACCTGAAGAAAAGCTCAGGACCAAAGCATGTTCCCCTGATTATTAAAGTAAGTTTACAAAAAGAAAATTATAT